CATCTGAACTTTGATCACATGGCTGAATTTTGAACAAGTGGTTGTTAAGTCGAGAACTAGCTGTATCTGGCAGGAAGGAAAGACACAGGTCATTCATTTTTAACAATTGTTTTAAAGGTTCTTATGGCTGTCATTGTAGCAGCATGATGGTTAAGAAAAGGTTCTAATCTGATTAAAGGGGGAAAAAACCACAAACACCTTTATTTGTACTTGGAAACCGCTTCTGGACTTTCGGCTTGAGGTGGAGGGAAAATGAAACTTTGATTTTGGGATTTACCAATTAGATAGATTTCTTTTTAAAGAAATGGTTAGTTTATAGTATTAGGAAAAAGGAAAAGGTGAGGGTAGATGTTAATGCCTTATTTTACTACAGCAAAGGAGTTGGAAGTCAACGCCTTTAATTTTTTTTATTTTCCCACCACCCACTTCCCTTTTCCCTTCCCTAGTTTCCCTAATATTTACTTTTGTAATCTCTTCGTATGTCATTATTAAAAAAACTAATAAAAAAACTATAAATCTAAAAAAGAAAGAAAGAAAACGTTCTAATTCACTCTTAGACATACAAGCTGCCTGGGTGACCTGGAGCTGGTTCAGTTCCCTCTCAGTACAATGTACAGTTTAAGTCCTTAACGTGCGACCATTGCTTAGAATTCCAACGGCATTGAATCAAGTGATTTATACAACCAGTTCTCACACTTAATGACTGTTGCCGTATCCCCACAGTCACGTGATCAAAATTCAGGCAACTGGCACGTATTTGCAAGAGCTGCATCATCTCAAGTTCATAGTTGCAGGAACTGGGCATGGCTAGTCTAGGGAAGAGAAGGACCAGGAGAGACAGGATAGCAGTCTTCCAATATTTGAGGTGGTCAAGCTATTTTCCAAAGCACCTGTAGGCCAGACAAGGAATAATGGATGGAAACTGAACAGGGAAAGAGATTCAACCTGGAAATAAGGAGGAATTTTCTGACAGTGAGAACAATCAACTAATGGATCAGAAGTTGCCTTCGGAAGTTGTGGGAGCTTCATCCCTGGAGGCTTTCAAGAAGAGACTGGACTGCCATCTGTCAGAAATGGTGTAGGGGGGTTGGACTAGATCAGTGATCCCCAACCTTTTTGACGCCGCGGCCCGGTACCGGCATCAGCTGGGCGCCGCGGCCCGGTACCGGCATCAGCTGGGCACCGCCATCTTTTTTTGATGAAAAAGTGCTTCCGGTGACCTCACCGGAAGCATGTTTTCATCAAAAAAAGATGGCGGCGCCCAGCAAGCCGCGGCCCGGTAGGAGTTGTTCTGCGGACCGGTACCGGTCCGCGGACCGGTGGTTGGGGACCCCTGGCCTAGATGACCTACAAAGTCCCTTCCAACTCTGTGAATCTGAATCTTAAGTCTTAAAGTTGCCAGTGTTACAAACCCCTGTTCTAAACAAAGTTCCTGCCTCCTTTTTTACCCTACTTGGTTGCCTATAGACCAGGTCTCAGCTGCATTTGGCACGGCAAGCTCTCTTCTTGTTCAATCTGCTGAGGAAAAGAGAAACATAGCCTTCTTTTTTTAAAGGAGGATGCCCAGCAATCAGATTAACAGTCGAAACTGGCCCAAAGTGAGCGAAACTCAAATCCTCGCATTAGCACAGTGTGCAGCTTTAGTCCAGCCAGCCAGCCAGCCGCTCACTTTCTTTTTCTGCCTAATCTCGCCAGAGATAATGTCGTATGGGACTGCATGTCCTGTTTTCAGTTCTCATAGAATGAAAAGAAGTGCCAGACAGCCAAAGTCTGGCGAGTTTCAAGGTACAACTGTTCTATTTTGGTGCTATCGGGTTGGTTGGTTGCATGCATGCATACGAACTGTCAGATAGAAAAAGCAAGGACAAAACCCAGAGTAAGTTGCCCTCATCCCACCGATCGTAAAACGTAAGAGGCAGTCCTGGAACTTATGGACACAACTGAGCCCAACATTTCCATTGCTAAGTGAGACCGTTGTTCAGCAAATTTCACCCTATTTTACCACCTTTCTCTATAGAGCCTTGGTGGCGCAGTGGTCAGAATGCAGTCTTGCATGCTAATTCTGCCGACTGCCAGCAGTTCGATTCTGACTCAGCCTTCTATCCTTCCGAGGTCGGTAAAAGCAGGACCCAGATTGTCGGGGGCAAGAGGCTGACATTGTAAACCGCTTAGAGAGGGATTTAAAGCACTGTGAAGCGGTATATAACTAAGTGCTATTGCTATTGTCCTTCCTTCCTTCCTTCCTTCCTTCCTTCCTTCCTTCCTTCCTTCCCTCTAACCACTGCCAGCAGTTCGATTCTGACCAGTTCAAGGTTAACTCAGCCTTCCATCCTTCCGAGGTTGGTAAAATGAGGACCCAGATTGTTAGGGGCCAGAGGCTGACTCTGTGAACTGCTTAGAGGGGGCTGTAAAAAACATTGTGAAGAGGTATATAAGTCTTGCCAGAGTTATGTGAATCACTGAAATCCTTAAGTTAGGTTGTTAAGTGAATCTGGCTTCCCCGTTGATTTTGCTTGCCAGAAGGTCAGAAAAAGTGATACCATGATCCCAGGACACGGTAACCATCATAAATATGACTCAGTTGCCAAGCATTTAAATTTTGACCATGTGACCATGGGGCTAGCATTAGCAATAGCACTTAGACTTATTATATACCGCTTCACAGTGCTTTTACAGCCCTCTCTAAGCGGTTTTACAGAGTCAGCCTCTTGCCCCCCAACAATCTGGGTCCTCATTTTACCTACCTCAGAAGGATGGAAGGCTGACTCAACCTTGAGCCGGTCAGGATCGAAATGCTGGCAGCGAGCTGAATTAGCCTGCAATACTGCATTCTGATAGATAAAGTTTGATAGATAGATAGATGATAGATAGACAATAGATAGACAGACAGACAGCAGATTGAGATATAACAGAAAGAGATGGCAGATGATAGAACCATGATGGTGAACCGGTGGCACGCAGAGCCCTCTCTGCGGGCATGTGCGCCATCGCCAGCTGCTCTTCTGGTTTCCAGCATGCGCATACGCACCAGCCAGCTGGTGTTTGGTTTCTGAAGCATGCACAGGTGTTCTGGCGCACGCACATTTCAGTTTGGGCACTCAGTGCCAAATAAGTTCACCATCACTGTGATAGATAGATAAGTAGAGATAGACGATATATACATATTAATAGATGATAGACAAACAGACAGACAGAAACAGTGACAGAGAGATACATAGAGATAAGACATTGATAGCAATAGCACTTAGACTTATATACCGCTTTCTAGCCCTCTCTAAGCGGTTTACAGAGTCAGCCTATTGTCCCCCAACAATCTGGGTCCTCATTTTACCCATCTCGGAAGGATGGAAGGCGGAGTCAACCTGGAGCCGATAAGAATTGAACTGACTGCTAGCAGTCAACAGAAACAGCCTGCAGTACTGCATTCTAACCACTGCGCCACCCTGGCGCTTATGCTGCAACTGTCATAAATGCGAAAAACAGTCGTAAGTCAGTGCTGCTGTAACTTTGAACAATCACAAACAATCAGTTGTAAGTTGAGGGCTACCTGTAATTTGCCAATTCAGAATACCTGTAGCTTCAAGAGAGAGCGGAATATAATTTAATTTCCAGGAGGAAAATATTTTGAACTCCCAAAGAGCAGGACGGGGGAAGGGCAAAGGCTGCGCGTGTGTTAACAGCAGATACGACCGGAGCTAAAAGTGAACAGGCCACTAAAGTGCAACAGATGAGGGGATTCCCCAGAGAGGAAGGAGGTCAATCTATTCTCCAAAGCACCCGAAGGCCAGACAAGGAATAATGGATAGAAACTGAACAAGGAGAGATTCAACCTGGAAATAAGAAGAAACTTTCTCTTATGTAAAAATTTTCTCCTATTCAAAAAAGAAAGAAAGACAAGGTTCCAATTCACTCTTAGTCATACAAGCTGCCTAGGTCAGGGGTCTCCAACCTTGGCAACTTTAAGCCTGGAGGACTTCAACTCCCAGAATTCCCCAGGCTGGGGAATTCTGGGAGTTGAAGTCCTCCAGGCTTAAAGTTGCCAAGGTTGGAGACCCCTGAGTTAGACTGTATTCTACCCCCGCCCCCGTACGATTCCAACTTCGTTGCAAGATCCCAGCGCAAAAGTAACCCGGGATCGGTTGAGCAAGCGGAGTCAAAAGAGAAAGGAAGGCCGGATCAAGTGATCCCCACTGCAGATTCGTTAGGTTGCAAGAGGTCTCTCTGCCCTGGGTGCAGTTTAAAGGGCCCCTCTAGACAGATTCCTTGGGTAGAAAAAGAGAAGAAGAAGAAGAAGGAAAAAAAAAAAAAGAGGCTCAAAGCGGAACTTTGCCAAGCCCTTGCCCCAATCCTACGCCCCACTCCTTCCCTCGGCTGCCAACCGCGCGAGCTCTCCCCCGACGGAGTTCAAGGCGAAGCGAACCTTGTGGCGACTTCTTTGGCTCGTCTCAAAGCGCCGGCGGGAGCCGCACCCTTGCGCCCCAAGCGCAGCAGGAGGACCCTCGGCTCCGCTCGCCCCCGCCGCTGCTCCGGAGCCCCGGGAGGGAAGAAGGCAGGTTGCTCATCTTCCACTCCGGGCCCTCCTCGGCTTCCGAGCCCGACCCATTGCGCCACCTTCCCGTCCTCCAGCGGCGGGGCGCGCCCGAAGCTCCAGCCCCCTACGCGGGTGGGTGTGTTTGGGTGCGCGCAGCACGCACGCCGCCCCATCCCTCCTCCTCCTTCTCCTCCTCCCCGAAAAGGGCATCTACTCGGTCCCTCCTCTCCAAAGGGACGTTCCCACGGGGTCCCCACGCGCTTTCCTCGCCCGGCCTGGCTGCTGCAACGCGCGCGCTCGCACACACACACACAAATACACACATACTCACACGCACACAAACACACACACACACATAAATACACACACATAAATTACACACACACACAAATACACACACGCACACACATCACGGGAGGCTCTCCGGCCCCACCGGGCGTCTCTTCCAGAGCCGGGCGGCCAGACTCACCGCCCGGCGGGGTTTGTGGCCGGCGTGGAGGCGCCAGCCGGCCACAAACCCCGCACATGGCCGGGGAGAGATCGGAGCGCCGTCCAGCCTTGGATGCAAAAAAGCCACGGCTGCCGTTCGGCTCCCAGGATCGCGCTGCCTTCTCCGCCGTGGCTTTCTTTCTTTCTTTCTTTCTTTCTTTCTTTCTTTCTTCTCTCTGTCTTTTCTTTCTTTCTTTCTTTTTCCTTCCTTCCTTCCTTTCTTTCCTTTTCTTTCTTTTCCTTCCTTCCTTC